ATAAAAACACTGTGTCACTTTATATAAGCGACTTGAGTTCCTATGGATTTTGGTACTCACAGAGTGTGTGGGGGGGAAGGTTGCAGGACTTGGTATGAGTGTATATGTGTGTGTGTCCCAGAACCCGTTCCCTTGGATAGCAAGGGACAACTGTATTTTCTTATTGTATTTTGTATTGTATTGTATTTTCTTTTTGTATTGTGTTGTGGTATAAGTCACATTTTTGGAAATGTTTTAATGAATTTATAGATTTGGTTCATTTTGGAGGATTCTGGCCTGTGACTAGGCAACAACAACCACCCATGAATTGCTAAAATAAGCTTTTGAACTTTTTTGAAGAGTATGGCAAAATGAACTTAAGTCCTGGAACGTTACTTCCACTTTTCACTAGAAGAGTCCATACAGTATAGTAAAACACAAATGTACTGTCTGTGTCAAGAGACGTAAGAAGAGATGCATTTTAGAATCTTGTAGATGGGTTTAAAACTTGACTACAATCACTTTCACTATGTGAATGTGGGACATGTTTTAGGTCTTTGTGTCTTATTTTTTTTCATCCATACGATAGTAATGGTAGTTTCTCCCTGTAGGGTTATGTATATTATGAAATTTGCATGTATATTGTGGTTGTTGCTGCTATTGTTTTTTTGAAGCAGGAAGATCTCTGGGAGCTCAGGACAGGATGGGCAGCCCAGGGAGTCTGTTACTGTCTTTTTTTTTTTTTTACTAAATTGCAAGAAGGTGCATTTGTTTGCCAGAGAGAGAGAGAAAGAGAGAGACAGAGAGAGGATGAGGGAGAAAGCACCCTTGTATGGGACATGGTCACACTGCTATCCCTTCTCCATTTCACCATCCTTTTGGGATTTGGGGCATGCACACACATGTGCCTGGCATGTTTTTCAAATTGCCGGTTGGTATTTGAATCATGGTCAGTCACGTGGGATCCAGTTCTTTTAACCACTAAGCCACAGGGCTGGCTCACTACTGTCTTGACTCTGATGGCATCAGCACTTCCAAGGTTGGGGGCAAGAGGCATGTTGTTACAGGAAACCAGGTGACCTCAAGCTGATCAAGGGTTAGGGGAGATGAGGTGCAGAACCCTTTCCCCTAATGTGAACAATAGGAGGAATGGATAAATAACGAGTTAGTTTTAGTGTAAGCCTGATTTCAGTTGAAATATTTACTTTCAGTAATTGCTGGCAAAGACGAAATATCTTTAAATGTTTTAACCCTTCCTAGTCTCCTGAGATTTAATGACTCTCTGTGTCTTGATTATCACTTTCTTGATTGATTTAGTCCATCTTCTTACCCATTTCTACCAGCACTCCTTTCCTCACAGTGCTGCAGGATAGCATTAGGACTAGAGCTCCCAAAACAGCTCTTCTTTTACACAAATTTGGTAAAAGAGAAGGCTAGAGCTTCAATAACACAATTCTAAATTTAGGAAAGATGCAATGTGTACTAGAGAATTAGAATAAGCGGCAGAAAATTCTATTTCTTTCTTTTTCTTTCTCCCTTCCACCCCCGCTGTTTTATTTCAAGACTAAACCTTAGTTTCCCTGTCTCTAAGACATTTTCCCACCTTGTTATCTCTGAGAAATGTGTAGAATTTAAATGGTGAATGGTTTGATCTTGGTAGCGAGAAAAGAATAAATTGCTCACTTAATAAATTGCCGGGCCACTTGGGTACTATTTAGTAGATTACCTTTTCCAGAGCGCTAAATGATAGTAAATGGTAAATGGCAGTAACTGGAAGAGTTAATGCAGCTTTGATCTCTTGAACTGAGACTCCGTAGTTTCCTTCGAACGAGATGGAATTATTTCTTCCCTTTTATCTGAGGCCCAGTAAACCTTCAAAAAAAGGGGAAGACATTATTACTTTTTCCATCTTGCATGACCATTAGAATAAAAGGAACGTAACTCTAGCTATACACATGTACATGCTAAAAATGGTCATTATGAACCCCATAAAGAATGCTTTAACAAGTGCCATTTACCACTCAGTTAATTAAAAATACCGAGTACTGACTATGAGCAAGGGCATGTGCCGGGGGCCTGGAGGTCTGTGAATGAGGTAGCCCCTCCTCTTTCGGTACTTACAATGAGGAAAAATTACTTTCTTAAGGCTCTTAATCTCATATTCCTTTCTTTTTTAAAAATAATTATTTTATTTAACTTTATTTATTTATTTAAATTTGCCCAGAGAGGGACAGAGTGTGTGTGTGTGTGTGTGTGTGTGTGTGTGTGTGTGTGTGTGAGAGAGAGAGAGAGAGAGAGAGAGAGAGAGAGAGAGAGAGAAGGAAAGTGAGAAAGGAAGATGCCAGGTCTGGGACTTGAACCAAGGTCAGTCACGTGGGAGTCCAGCGCCCCTAGCCACCACACCACCTGCTGGCCCCAATCTCATATTCCTTTCTAAAGGTCTGACGTACCAGTTAACTTCCTAATACCCAGTGCTGGATGTGTAGATGATAGAACATATGGGCCATAGCACAACACTGGAAACCAGGACAAATAAATCTTAAACTGAGATGCCTCTCCATTTGGGAGCTGGTTATGACCAGAAACCGTATCAAAGATATCTGCTTTTCTGGCGGAAAGGTTGCATCAGTGGTGGGCTGTTCCTAGGTTTAAGTACAGGCCCAAGGCAAACCCTCCTCTACTACCCAGTAATGCAAAGTGCATTTAGTTATCAATTCTAACAGTTAGATTATCAGTGCAATGCGAGATGCCCTTGCAGTGACCAAGTGTCTGCTTCAGTCTGGGGAGAAAGGATAAATTCCCTAGATCAAGGAAATGGTTCTTTGCCAGTGTTCCTACAGAGACTTTCCCATCAACTAAGGGGGATTATCAAGGACTCCCATAGACTGAAGGAGTCTCTTTTATTGTTTGTGTATTTTTATTCATATTTAATCATTGTACATTTTTACAGCATACAATATGAATTCCCAAAGCTATTACCATATGCAGTACTGAGGGAGATTCTTAAATCACAGTTGTTAGATATGGGAGGTGGCTAGATATCGGAGCAAAAGCAGAAATGTCAGTAGGAGAAAGAACTTCCAATTTCATTTGAATTCTAGAAGACAGTCTAAATGTCTACTGAGCTGTTTTCAGATGGCATGGAGTAGTCTGAGGGACATTGTCTTAATTTGAAAAGTGATATATGGAATGTGGTAGGAAAAATGCAAATCCCGACAAACACACAAACACACACACACAAATACACGTATGATTAAAAAAAGTCTAGGGACCAGCAGTTAGCGTGATTGTTATGTCACTGGACTCCCATGTAACCAACCGTGGTTCGCATCTTGGACCCGGTGGCGTAAACTCACGCAGGGTGAGTGTACGTGCGTGCCCAAGATCCCAAGAGGAGAATGGAGGAGAAGGGATTGCGGCGTGGCCATCCCCCCTGGGGGGTGATTTCTCGCTTTCTGTCTCTCTGTCTCTCTCTGTCTGTCTGGCGAGCGCACGCGCCCTATAGCAAAAACCTCTCCGAAAAAAAAAAAAAAGAAAAAAAAAGTCTAAAACCCATTTCTACTACCCAGAGATAACTGCACCTAACAATTGGTATATTTTTCTTCTTTATTTTCTAAATTAGAATCATACTGTATATTCCATTTTGCAACCTGGTTCTATTCACTTAGCAGCATATTGAACATATTTCCACATGTAATTAAATATTTCTTGAAGATATTATTTTAAATTACTGCCCAATTCTCCTTGTATTGGGCATTAAGGTTATTTCCTATTTTTTTTTTGGTCTACATAAATAAATCTTCAATGAATACTTTTATTTGTAATAACTTTTGCTTATTATTTCTTTAGATTCCCAGAAATGGCATTACTGGTTCAAATGGTATAATTTTTCAAGGCTTTTGGTATACTTTCGTAAATTGTTTTCTAGGAAGATTTTTAGCATTTTTCACTCTCATAAACTGTAGGCCTTCAAGGGAACTGTTTGATGAATGACATTGGGCTTAAGTGATCTGGATCCAGAAAAAAAAATAATTAAACCATTCACTTTATCCTTGGGTTTTTGTGGCTTTTAGTAAAGATAGAAC